TATCACCAACATCCATCTCCTGCAAAATTACAACGTTTGTACATTACTTCTATTTTCCTACTGCACAAAAGGTCTTTCTTTCACTCTTTACATGACATGTTCACAGGAACTATCAAACCTCGAAAATTGTGTTCCTCGCATGTCGAAATGATGAGGAATTTTGGCTTAAACACTTTCTGCCTCAGAGCCTGGAGGCTTCACAGAAGCTTCGAAGTCCTTTTCTTCCGAGTCTCTGAACTTCAAGTAATGCTCAATGTCCTTGGAGTATTCTGAGCTCAAGTTTCTGATGTTGAACCACTTCCTATGCGGTTTAGGCCTTCGGTCACTAATGGCAATGGCAATGTCATTAGGGAAAAGGTCTCTGAGCACAAAGGCGTGCAATATAGTTGTTATGAGGAGAGCCGAAACCGTAAGCGTGGACGCCGCGGAAAGTAGGACTGCCAGGGCTTGAGTTACAACGTTTGTTACTTCATTTGAGTACTTGACTGTTGCAATTGCAGCACCAGCCATTGGAAAAGTGTATGCCCACCAAGCTAGTGAGAATCTGTAAAATTCAAAGAAAAATATCTAGAGGTTAGAGAATTGAACAATAAAGGGAAAAAAATGAATAATTTCACATCAAGTTCATTTAAGCCATGTCTTACTTGAATCCTCTGAAGAAGTTAACCCGAACAGCCTGCAGAAATTCACAAAAAAAGAACATGCAATTTAGAATGTTAGTTCAGTTCTCCCAAAAGCTTCCAACAATAGTATTATATTCTAGTACTTCTCCATCGGCCTAAACCAGACATGGGTCAATCAAAAAAGGGGCAAAATTGCAAATGCGACATGAGCCTATTAAAGGAGATAATAGGCCTATAGGCCTACGCGTGAAAAGTTACAAAATTGCAATGGTTCGAACATTGATACCTTGTTAGTTTATCAATTTTCTAAAAAGTTTAAGTTGAGAGTAGGTGGACAACAATAGTATTATATAGTTTGTTAAAAGAATAGTCATGGCAAAGAAACAAGCTGATGCAAATTGCATAATGCATAGATAGATACTGACCAGTGAGAAATAAAGGAACAAGGCAATGAAGTAGGCTATTCGCGATCCATTGTCGAAGGAGCCCTTGAGCTTGGCCCACGCCATGGAGGCGACACTAGGCGCCGCGACGAAGAGAAAGAAAACCGGATGGAGCTCCTTTGGGAGTGTCTTATTTGTTGGGAGTCTTTGGTAGAGAGTGACAAAGAGCACCGTGTAGTGAGCTAACCCAACAGCAAAGAAGAAAATGGGCCCTTCTTTTAGCCCCATTGAAGCACCCAACAATGCGCCAACAAAGTTTCCAACAACTGAGAGATGGTTTGAAGGATTAGCCACTTTGGAGAGCCTCCTTTGGCCTCCTGACATCCACTGTCCATAGATCTTAAGCTCAAGGCAAAAGATTGGAGTCATCATGATGTACCAAAGAGCCGGGTGTAAGGTCTTCGCAACCGAAGGTGGGACTCCGAGAGCTAAGAACAAGAGCGAGATCCACGGGGCAAAGAAGAAGTTGACACGGATGGGGTGATAGTACTCGCGACGAACCGCTTCGAAGTACAAGATCACTTTGAGAAGGTAGATGGAGAAGACGGCCACAACTAGAGCAATAGCGATGTACCAGAGGATAAGGTTTATTGTTAGGCTCAAATGGAGAAACTTTGTGGAAGCAGAGGTGGCAAGGGTTTTCCACATGATAGCTTGGCTGCTCACACCAAGGCAAATACCAAATGAAGAGATGGGAAACCTTAGAAGAAATGGCCATTTCTTGTCTTCTGGAAGCAGTATTTCCTCTGATGCCTGTAAATAATATAAAGAGAAAAGAAGAAAAACATTCAAACTTCTTTAAAAAAACAACAACATTTATCTTAATCCTAACATCACAAACATAGAATTTTTGTTGAGAATTAAGAGGATCATTAGTTTCACCCTGTTCCTTATCCCTTCTACAAAAGAAATTTAGTGAGCCATTAGTAGAACAGAAAAGACCCGACTCAATTCTAATTCTACTCGAATGATGGACTCAGTTTCACTCTCACCACCACAAGTCTTGCATATAGTCGATTGACCAGGCAGAGATCTTAAAAGTGGGGCTACAAAATTTCAAACCTTAATTCCATATTGAGAGTATAAAGAAGAGGGTATTTTAATCGCTGCACTACTCCATTAGTGGTTAACAAGAAGATAGATAATTGAGTAAAATTACCCTAAGGGTGTCCAACTCTGGCCCTTCCAGTGCATCATAGTAACGGTCGACCGGTATAGTTTCAAACTCCGAATTCTGCAGGACAACATCCTCTGGTCCAGTCTGTCTCGGCGTCTTTCCCCGCAGGTGCGTGATCTGTTTTTCGAGTTTCCCCGACCATGTCTTGAAAGAATCAAACCTCCTGTCTATCAACCTCCTAATGTTTGGATTCTGAGGCAGATCTCCAGTTTTCATTTCCTGCT